GAACGAGAATGTACATATATACATATTTATTACATGAGATGGACTCATGCGTGGACAGAAAAAAACTAGATTGAGCTAAAAAAACAACAACCCCGAGTCAACATCAACACAAAAAAAACTGAAAAAAACATCAAAAGGACGCGATTAAAGAGAAAAAGACACAGCATAAGATGAGTGAAGGATTCAGTCTCTACGGAACCATATAACGATCGATCAATCTTGAGAAAGCTTTGACGCTAGCAGGAAATGATTTATGTCTATTAAGCTTAAAGTAGTCTGTACCAGCCCTTATAGTGAAGAAGCGCGACCGTATATTGTGCTTGGCAAGAGGCACCACTGGCTTGAGAGGGCCTCCCCTGGTGACTGATGGACGCAGAATACGAAAATGATCAGGACTGAGACCACACTTGCCATGAAGGATCTTGTGGAAAAGGATGAGGTCGAATTTTCTCCTCCTACAGGCCAGGGATTGTAACTTCAGATTTCTGTTCCTTTCAATGCTAGAAGGAATACCATCATAGAGAAAACCCAAAGCTCTCACCATAACTTTCCGTGTGAAAGAGTTCTGAACTCTTTCTAGTGTTTTAATCATTTTCACTTTATAGGGGTTGAATACAGGCGTGCCGTACTCCAGAATTGGCCTAACATACGTCTTGAAAGCACGCAACAGCACAGCAGTATTCTTTGTTGTGAGAACCCTGAAGAGTTTGTAGACCACTGTAGTGGCTTTGCGAGCAATGCTTTCACAGTGCGAATCAAAGCTGAGATCCTTAGTTACGCTAAGTCCCGTTGTTGGTCTACTTTCCTAATAGGAGTACTCTCAACAAAATAAGGGAACTCTTTATTCTTTGGGCCGAGATGCAGCACTGTAGTTTTCTCACTGGACAGCGGTAGTGCCCACTTCTTAGACCATGTATTCACGAAATCAATGGATCTCTGAAGTTGCAAACGTTCATCTTCAGTTCCTACAGCTCTATATAACTTGACATCATCCGCGAATGCCACGCAATCAACACCACGGCCAGTTATAAGCAGAGGCAACTCAAATGTGTAAATGTTGAAGAGCAGAGGGGAAAGAACGCCTCAGGTACCCCGCTCGGTGCTGAACGTGGAGAGGAAAAACTTTTATTCACTCGCACCATGAACGTCCGGTCACTTAAGAAGGCGCGTATCCAAGCAATAATGCGAGAGTGTACTCCTATCAGCGAAAGTTTAGTGAGAAGCTTGCGATGGTCAACTCTATCGAAAGCTTTCGAAAAATCCAAGTATATGACATCTACGCAAGCCCCGGCATCCAGGGAAGCGGTCCAATTATTGAGTGACTGAAGTAGGGCTGTAGTGGTGGACTTTCCTCTCTGAAAACCGTGTTGCAACGGCGAAAGGATTGAGTGGTCAGTAATGTGCGCCTCAATCCTCTTCTTCAGAAGCTTTTCAAAGAGACGAGCGAAAATGGAGGTAATGCTGATAGGCCGGTAGTTCTCAGGGCAATCGTAAGGTGCCTTCTTGGGGATGGGAACTACATACGCCATACGCCACCTTGAGGGACCTCAGCTCTCATGAAACTCAGGTTGAAGATATACTGTAGTGGTCCAGCAATGATGTGGGCCACATTCTTGACGAAAAGCAACGGTAATTCGTCTGGTGTAAATGAACACGAAGCTGGCCAGTGTAGCAGCAAGGTAAGGATGTCATCGGAATGAAACCACAAGGAATCGGGCATCTCCGGGAACATTTGGAGATCCGAGAGATCCACCAACTCCTCAGTAGCAATGTCCGTGAATGACTTCTCAAACGTAGAAGCTAGGATCTCGGCCTTGTCCCGATCACTGGTGAGTGTATGACCATCACTACTCTTTAAAATACCCAGCTTCGGCTTATGATTGAGCCTAGAGTTAAGCAGCTTGTAGAACGCGAGCTTATCTCTGGACTCAACTACCTTCTTCTCAACGGAATTATTGTATTTCCAAAGCTTTCGTTGCGGTAGTAGTACTGAAGACTAGGATCGTCAGTGGATGCGGCTGCAGCCCAAGCGCGGGTCCTCTTAAGGTAGAGACGGTGCAGGTAGGGCGGTAAGCGGGAATAGGAAGAGGGAACATATGTTAGAGGAACAAACATAGACACACAGTGGTGCAGAATTGAAAAGAAAAGCTCGTACATCTCATCAACAGAATGCAAAAAACTAAATGAGCTATACCAGTCGATATCAGCAAGATATTTGGTAATGACTTCATAGTCAGCCGCTTTGAAATTAAGTTTTGCAACAAGTTTTTCCTTGGCTGCTAAGAGATTCAAATTAAAAACGAGGCTATTATGATCACTAGTCCCTAGAGGGGCGGCCACGGCCAGGCTATGTATTAAGCCCTCAGTATTGGTGAGGATTAAGTCGAGAATGTTCTTCCCCAGGGTAGGCACTTTGACGTGTTGAGTCAAGAAATGTGTTTTGCAGAGCTCTACAAATGATTTAGAAATAGTCGCATACTGATTACTAAGTACCTGGCCAGACCAGTCAATATCAGGTAGGTTGAAGTCACCAGTGATGAGGCAATGACGATCGGAGGAAATGAGGTCGCTGATCGCCTTGAATAACTGGCATGTGAAAGCATTAGTACAGGAGGGGGCTCTATAAACGGTCACAAGTCGAATGTAAGCATTTTGTATGACAAGATCTAAGCATAAAATCTCATATGACCTAGGAGAACATTCATGGAAAACAACAGCCGGAGAAAGGGCTTTCTTCACGAGGACTGCCACACCTCCACCCTTTCCAGAAGTGCGGTCGCACCTGATCACCTCGTAGCGCGTGTGAGAGCCCCCAGGGGATGACCACTGAATATCGGCGCTGAGCCATGTCTCGGTCAGGGCTATTATGTCAAAATCAAATCGCTGTATCTGATGGGAAATGGCTTTATCATTCTTAAGGACTGATCGTATGTTAGCGTACAAGCATTGTAGACGTCGCTCATGGTTCCGAGGAGTGTTTACTAGTTTGAAGTACTAGACAGGTCCACAACTGGAGTATGAATGCTGACATCAGAAACATTTTCAAGCTCAGGGGACGACTGATTACGAAGGGGTTTTTCCAAGGATCGAGCATCCTTGAAAGACTGAGTGCCCCGCCTTGCAATCCGCTCAGCGCGAGCTCTACTCCTTTCCTCCCTAGTCAAGGAGGGCCTGATATATATTTTAGAGATGGAGTAGTGCTTCAAGCGGTGTGCACGACGTAATATTTGATTTACATAAAAAGTAGAAGGCAGAACAATTTTAAGAAGACGGGGAAACGAAGAAGTAGCTCGTCCCATGCGGTAAATGGTCAAAGGAGAACATTCAATTTCAAGAAAATCAAAAATACGCTTCAAACTATTAATATCATTAACCAAACGATCACTCGGCAGACTGGATAAACTTTCAGGCAAACCAATAAGAACAACTGAGCGTTTCCGCTCAACATCATCGAAAGAGAAAGTAATAGTATTCGAAAATTTAGTAGGCTGAGAACTACTGGCAGGAGGATGAGGATCTGAGGTAGAACATGACTGGCTTAAAGCAGCTTTCAATTTTACATTTTCTTCCCTAAGCATGGACACCTCCTCGGTAAGCTCCCGATTACGATTAAGTACGGTATGAAGAAGCTTACGGTCCTCCAAAAGGGTTGCCAATACTGATCGAAGGTACTGCGGCAGGGTTTGATCTTCCATTAGTAGACTGACGTCCTTATCGAACTTTCCAGGTGGCGAGATAGGCGATGGATCAATGCATGATCTCTTCACCGGTCGATCATGAACAACGCGGGCCGACACTGGTGTTTCCATTGGCATGCAAAACAATTAGAAGTGGAAACGTCGAAAAAAATAAAAGAAACTCAAACTCAAAGTCTGAGAAAAATAAACCTCTGAGTGTGGCTAACAGAGAAAATACACCTCTGAGTGTGGCTAACAGAGAATCCCGAGGGATCACACCGCGCCACAACGATGCTCGATGAAATAAATCTGGACGCTGCGACAGACGTGAATCGGAGGCGTCGGGATACCTTGGGCCAGTGGACTCGAATAATTAGTGCACAAGAATGATCAGTCAGTTGAATACAATGAATTAGTCGAGAAGTGCCTGGTGCACGATAACTTGGGCAACTGCAGGTAACGGATCAATGAAAAAAGCGGCCGCTCACCACCATGTACCAATGCCCGACACCATTCTCTGAGCATGCAAGAGGTCATGGTTATTCCCGCTCAGCACTCCTGCTCTTCGTACACCACGATCCTGCGTCAGACGAAAAGTCATCTACTACTCCAGTGGCGCTCGTTTCGAATGATCAAAAAAACTTTGTACCGATTGATAGCTGAATTGCCAACTGTCTAATAACAAAATAAGTTTTACACTTGCTCTACGTCAGCAAACCTAAAAATTCAACTGAAACCATCTATGAGTGAAATCCGCAATTACTTAGTTGCCAACCTAATATAAATATGAAAGTAGAAACGCAATGGCCTGAGCAACGTTTCTAATGAGCGAAACGCAATGGCCTGAGCAACGTTTCTAATGAATGGGAAAGGAATTCTGTCAGGAGTTGTAGAGTACGAGCATGGCCATTTCATGAGAAGACTGTACACATCCCTTGGATCAAAGTACGGAAAGGACTGCATTTTACAAGAGACAGTGGGCGAAAATGAGGGTAAATCGTTATTGTCTTGTTGAAATGCTTTACTGAACTCAAGTGCAAACGCATTGGCCTTATCAAAGTCGTTCAGAAGTAATCTGCCTTCATACCTCAAATCCGTAAACTGAGATTTCTCGCGCAGCCTAGATCTCATGAATTTGAAAAACGCTGCTTGTCCTTAGCTTCAACAATTTTCTTTTCTACATTTCTGTTGAATTTCATAAGTCTTTTGGTGAAAACTAAGGAGAATCTGTTGTACTCAACCCAGTCGCCGGTCAGTTTGGCATATTGAAACAGGCATTCTTTATGTTCAGACATGTTACTTAAATATACCGGTAGGAAGTGCTTATTCGGATAGACGAGAGCCCAGGGGACGTATTAGTATAGAGAGAAACATCGAATACTTATCATCAAGTGTGGATAGGGTTTCAAAGGATTCAACCCATAGGATACTAGAAAGATAACTGAGGACGCGGGAATAGTCGCACTTATGAAACAGTCTTTTGAAAACTGGCACGCAAGGAGGAAGACTGGCAGTAATCTCAAAAGAAATGCTCGAATGATCACTATGCCCAAGAGCAGAATTAATTGAGATATTGTTAATAAGGTGCTGATCATTTGTAAGCACTAAGTCTAATATGTTATCACCCCTTGTGGGCTCTGTCGTGTCTTGCGTACGACTTGGAAGTGTTCGTGGTATGCGCCGTACAATATCATGCTCCATTCGTCATCGTACCGTATCCGTCAATTCAAACGATGCAGCCGACAGCTCAAACGATGGAAGAAGCTGGAAGCGCGGGAAGCTACTCTGCTTCTCTATACTCAGCCCGCGCGACCCGCCAGTCGTCAGTTAGTCGTCAGTGTCATCCTGCTGAGCGGCTGCTTCTACCTCTGTCTCATCCCGGCCGAATGGGCCGTCGGCTACCACGTCACATATCCTCACCTGTACGTTGTGCTGCTGTTACCTTGCCTTAACCTTCTCTATATTGTTCTCATCTATTTGGTAGTCATGTAATAGTCATTTATTCTATTGCGTATTAGTATAGTCAACATGAATAGTTATTCAATAGTCTTCTGTTATGTAGCAATAGTCGGCACAACTATCGGTCACATATTTATTAGACTTCTATTCTATCTCACAATAGTAACGTAGGTAACATAGGTTGGGGTTAGGCCTAACATGCGGGCCGGCAGGCATCTGCCCCTTGCTGAGCATTCCAACCGCGCGACACAACCCCACAAAGGGTGTGGGCCCTTCCAATACCCACGTTCTGCGTGGTCGGGTATGGTAACCGCCGATGCATCACATTTCTCTTCCCCCCGGTCACGACAGGCTCTTTCACAAACTGTGAGAACCCGTGATATGCAAAAGTTTCCGCAAGAGGGTGCGAATTTTCTCTACTAGGATTCCATTGTGCCCAATCAATTTCTGGTATGTTGAAATCACCAATTACAATAACAGGGCATGAGGCAACAGCTAGATCACTGATTGCTTCAGCTAATTGTTCTGTGATATGCAATGGTGTCGACGGCGGCCTGTATACTAAAACTATCCTGATGCAAAGTTCAGGGGCAGCAAAATCCAACGCTAGAATTTCGTACCCTTTAGGAAACGACAATAGAGTGATCACTAATCCAATCACTGAGCAGGGAAGAGACAGTATGGGCTTTTCTTAACCAGGTCTCAGTGAATAGATAGAGATCGAACCTATCACGGATGACAAGGTCAAGAAATGAACAATTCTTTGGAAATGATCTAATGTTCGAATAGAATACTGAAAAGTTCAACGAATATGCACAACCATTATCATAATGAAGATCAACAACATGCCGGGGAAAGGAAATCAGTTTCCCTGTGATGCGAGGTTGGAATGTGAAAAAGCATCTGAAGTGTGAACACCAAGTGCTTGATGACTGGACTTTTGATAATGAAGACGTTCTTCTCGACGTCTTTTTCTCTCAGGCTTCGCTGAGGGACTCCCTAAGGAATACCCTTTTTCCGAGAAAAAACGAAGTCGAGGAGCACGCCGCACAGCCATGCGCTGGTAATACGAAGAAATCATTACGACCTCAAGCAGCCTATTTTTCCCTTTCATGGGACTTCCTAATCTATACACAGCCACTGGGAAACAACCTACATCAAGATGGCATAACACGTTGAGTACACTGTTATAGTCATAGCTCAATTTCCTAACAAAGGTCGCAGTTTTTCAACTCAGGATACCTGCTATTATGAGTGACCTTATTAGTTCTAGTTCGATACAATCAATATTGACAGCCGGCGGTGGTGAAGGGTCAAAATGCTCAGTATCAATGTCAATACAATCCAAGGAAGTGCCAGGGGAATGCCTAATTTCTTACGGAGTAAAGCATTCTCAGCACGAAGCTGGTCACGTTCATTTTTAACATCATTCAACTTCCTTTATCAGAGAGTTAAGTGCGGACTTCACGCAGTCCGGGACCGACTGCGAGGAATTGACCTCCCTCATGGCGCTCTCTAGTGATGACGTGGTGGAACCTGGCGATAATGGAGACGTGGATGGGCACGACCTTTTTGTACCTTTAAATGAAGCACGTGGAGCGTCCATAGTTAACAAGCACGGAGCGTCCATAGTTAACAATTCGGGAAAAATATATGAAAAGTAGAATCAATACATCTTATCGTACGACCCAACAAGATGAAAACTGATCACGGGTCGTTCGTGACCAACGCAAATTGGAAATCAATCCTCAACTTTAACTCGATCCGACGAAAAAGAATATTTGACAGTGAATGGCAGAAGCAATCTCATGCACTGAATTCCCAAAAGAAGAGTGGCAAGAGGCCGCTGAGAGTAGTAATCCAATAGAAGTAGAGTATGCAAATATCAGTGAGAATTCGAATATCAGTAGAATAGGTGCGAGAAGAACCACAAAACCGACCGCTCAGCGCCGGCGCATGCACGTTGTCTTGAAAGACGAGGTGACACATTCAGTACTGTTCCCATTTCAACATGGGTTTCGAAGAGGGAAGTCCACCAACTGCATTACTTCAGTCATTCAATGACTGGACGATCTCCGTGAAAGTGCATGTGTAGATGTCATATATCTGGATTTTCCAAAACCCTTTGATAGGGTCGATCACGACACTAAACTTTCCTTGATAGGAGTGCACTCACGTATCATTGCATGGATCCAAGCTCTCCTACACGATAGGAGATTCATGGTACGAGTAAATAATACCTTCTCCTGTACACGTTTGGCGCCTAGTGGAGTTTCTCAGGAAGGTGTGCTCTCTTCGTTTAACATCTACACGTTTGAGATGCCTTTGCTTATTACAAAGTGTGGAGTAAAATGCAGTGCATTTGCGGACGATGTTAAATCATACCAAGCAGTAGAAGTTCATGATGACTGCGTTCAGCTTCAGCGTTCCATTGGTGTAGTCAATAGTTGGTCTGATATATGGACCCTGCCGTTGTCCTCAGAAAAGACAACAATGATGCACTACCATATCGATGGGCTACTAATTGCATTCGCTCCTCAGGTCAAGGACCTAGGTTTTGTGATAACTACCAATCTGTCCCTCGACAGTCACTCCAGAAGGGTGGGTCACCAAATTCATAGCGCGGACCACAGCAATTGTAGAACGTTGGTCCTAAAGAGTAAGATGGGAGACTGAATAGGAGTTTTATTGGAGGGTGGCAGGGATTGATAAGAGCTATAAAGTTACCGTAGCGTATCTGAGAAGGGAATCACTAACTTCATAGCGCGGGCCATAGCAACTTAAGAACGTTGGGTCCAAAAAATAAGATAGGGGCAGGATGGGAATATCCTCCTATTCTGTGAAGCAGAAATTCTGTGTGTCGGTTTGTCGGTATGTATGTATGTAAGTATGTTTGTATGTCTGTCCGTCCGCAAATTGCTTCACGGGCAGGGTACAGCATGGGGATGTGTCAAATGGCGGTGTGGGTACGACCCCCCCCCCTCGAAGAGGGTCCAGATACGACCCCCCCCCTCCTGCTCTAACTGACAACCAGATGCATGTTCACCACAAATGGCTTCCTGAAATGGAATCTGGATTCTCGAAAGGCGCACTCTGCTCTAAAATACAGGAAATAAAAGGCTGTTTCAGCCTCATGCAATATGAGGCTGAACAACAGCCTCGCATTACCTACAATTTTGTCTTAGGATTC